GCGCCTATGCTGCAACAGTAGCCTTTCACACCCTACCCACATACGGCATTTTTTGCCTAAGCTGATTGTGGAAGCTTGCATATAGGATGAGTGATATGCATTTGACTGGGCTGATCAACTGTGGTGTTAGAAAGAATTGCCGCTTAAGTATTATGGCCTCTCACTCCTTACTAATGACGGGCATCCTGCGCGTTTTTATCTTTCATGATAAAGGATTCAACCAAGTCAACCATTTTCCGCTAGGTTCAGGTATGCCAGCGCAGAGAGCTTCACAGAAGTTTCTTTATTCTGGCGCAAGCTTCCTCTCTCAGAGACTCTAAGAGCTGAAGTTATAAAGAGAAAATTCTGATCTGGTTTAGTGCGCAATACCACACAACTGCGAAAAACTTAAAGTATGGAGGATATCGTGATACGTTAGAAAAGGAGTAGCTGTCAAATTCTTGTCAGCGACAAAATTTTATCATCTTCCACGCTGTCCCACCTTTTGTCCATGAACCCGCAAAATCGCCCGAGTCCTCTTTAAAGATTTTAGTCTCCTGACCGGTACCATGCACTCAGTGGTTAAGCTCAACGGTAATTCACTGCGACAGTACACAACGCTGCAGACTCTATTTTTAACGGTCCTGAAGCCAAAAATGAACATATGGACAATTCGGATCTTTTGCTACAGGGCTGCTGCTCGAACATCAATTCCATAGAGTCGTTTACGGCAACATCCAAACTTTCACGTTCATAAAATTCATGGTTCCAAATATTACAAAACGTTTCTCCGACCCGAGCTCAGCAGAACGATCTGTCTGAACAGCTTGGATTCTGCTAACATTAGTAACTAACATAATGTTAGCAAATGGGGTCATTTCTAGAAACCTTCGTAATCCTGAACCGAAAAAATGTTAAGATGTTAAGAACATATACTGTGCGACAGAAATATCAAAAACGCGGATATATATTCCTTGCAAGTCCTATTTGTCGCAGAATATGCCTTTGAGATATATATTTCTATTGAGCATACCTTGTGTTCGATGATATCCGCCGAAAATCTGGCTAATGACATTCGTTTCCCTCGTGTACGAATCTAGTCTAAAATAAAATCGATCGCAGACATGAAAAACCTTCAGAAATTTTCCGGAAATTCATACTTAAGCGTTCTGAACGGGAACAACGCTGCAGAATGCATAGAATCGACGTAGAGTCGCAGAAATTCGTGCGCGTCTTCCTGACCACCGGTCAAATAACGAGGAGATATCACTGAAACAATGAATTCTTTTTAAGGGCGGGCCTCTAGTAAGGTAAAAAAATGAAGCGACATTAACCAAATCAGTGTATCCACTTTTTCACTCAAATCTGATCCTGACTGAGTGAAAGCTACAACGTGATAAGCAAATGATAAGTAACAACAGTTAGTATAATGAACCAATCTTACGTGCTGAAAAGCAGTTTTGTCATAGATCAGGCGCTGGGAAACAGTGCATACGTATCATGAGCATTTATAAACCAACTGTTTCTGAAACGTCTCCATAACTCTGTCACTGCATACAACTCCTGCGGCAAGACGTTGTTCTAGATGTTGTTAGTGCTTCTCAATTTCAACCAACTCCTAATTAAGTTAGTAAACCAACTCAGGTCCGCTCCGTGACGCTGTTATAAATCAGGCTTGGCCGTTTTCTGAGCTTTTGACAACGCTACAGAAGAGACAAAATTAGCGACTTACGTCTCATGTCCTCGACCATCCTACGTGGCATCATCCGATTTTTGCCTGCCGCTGCGACTCTGTAGACGGCTTTAACGTGGTCACCTAAACGACAAATACCGCAAAAACCACCTGACTGCGGACCTATAAAATGTCACACGTTAGCAGAGGAACACGATTTTCGAGGCATGGCACAGAAACAAGGATAACAATTTTCTCTATTAACATGATACTGCAAAAGCTTTGCAATTACTCGTACGCACGTCTGTTACTCTACTAATCTCCAAACGATCTACAAATTAGCTTCGAATTCGCTTCCATCACGATCATACAAACTTTGCCTTATCCGATGGGCAATTCATCAAGTCGGATTATAATAAAATCCGTCTTCCGTATAAAACGAGGACGATATGGACGTACAAGCAGGTAGATGATGTTTGCGTCATGAACGACGTTGTGAAACTTTCTGGAGATTAATATGAACAGCAGATATAATCAGTCTGTTGGAATCTGTCTAAAAGCCATTCTCCCAAAGAGACAGACACAAGTACCCTAAAAGGCATGAAAATCACTGTCATCTAATGCTGGCATGACCTCGCAATATGGCCGTTTCGAGATTTCTAGCAGGTCTCGGATAAGAAAACAGTTATGAAGTAAGCGCACTATCGTATTCTCTCTGTCATGTCATCTCGTTTTTCGATGACTGTACACTCCCTGTGACGGTAGATCTGCTTTGAACTACTGTGTAAACTTGACAAAACAAGATGCCATGATGCCCACCTCAATGAACTGACAGAGAAGTCGATGAAAGCTAACGATCGTTGTCCGATAAACCGCAATTGTCGAAAACAGCGAAAGTGACAAACACTACGCAGCCGAAAGAAGAATTTGCCGGATAAGACAAAACTTATGAGATTCCCATGTTATGTCTGTCGTCATTTCTTAGGTTGCCTGTCACTCCATTTACCAACATAATTCAATCCAAAGAAACTGTTTGTAAGGTAAAAACTGGTAAATAGAAAACGAAATACCTGATGATTTCAATGTAAGAAACTGAAACAGGTTCGCAAAGCATCGATAAATAGGCAAATATTTTTCCCACATATGTCAGAACATTAAAATCACTCCCGGGCTTGAAATGGAAGGTCTTCGGTCAGTATGTGTTCCTAATGCTAATGTATGGATGAGAAATATCGTCCGTAAGCATGAAAAATGTTCACAAATTAAAGACTACAGACTACGTAAGACAGCATGGAAAGGTGTCAAACGTTCTACTTCTTTCTTAGGTTGATAAATGAATACCACTCT